AAACAACAAAAACAAAACCAACCTCTCTGATACACAAGTGTATAAACAATGAATGGGGGATTGAAAAAACCTGATGATGCCGCAGCGACACACTATCGAACTATGCGACCCGACAAACAAAACCAAACTGAATTGGGGAAATGTGTGGTCAATTGTCGAGAGCAAAAGCAAAGACATGGCTCCAGCAAAAACACAAAATCAGTTCTGTTTTCGATCAGAATTCTTTTGGTATGTTTGTATTGGGGTGTATGTACGCTCGAAAAATAATGTTAATAATAATGGTTCAAAATTATCGAGCTAAGGCAAGGCTTGACAAAATGCATTTGGATGTAAAAGTTGATGGGGAGCATTAGCAGAATAATAATAGTAATAATATATTAGGGGAATATGGTTGTATTTGGTAATAAAGAGTATTCTAGTTAAGAGTTTGAAATAAATGATCGAATGTATAATTCATAAAAAACTTGTATGCCGCTAGAAATAAAAAATCAGTCAAATGGCTACCAATAACAAGCTTGCTGGTTCATATCCTTTTCATGAAATTAAAAGCATTACCAATTGCAAATTTATTGTCTTTATTCGATGCAGGACTTTTGGAGTAGACCTTATGTTCATAACATCAGGCACAAAAAGACAAAACTAATACCCTCCACCATTTTAAAAAACTTGGAAAATTAAAAAAAAAAAAACAAAAAAAGTCTTAACGCCATTCGGGGCCAACTTTACTTTGCATATTTAGTAGAGCTTCACATAACAAATAAAAGTTTTTATGGGGAATTTGTGATAATTAAATCATACCAAATATTTAGTAATAATTTAAAGTCCAAAGGAACTAATATATGAGAGGAATTCCCCCGTGTCCGTCAAGATAAATTTAAATTTAATTAGCAAAGACACAAACCAAGGTGATTTTTTCTCCGGTTCGCAAAGGGTTAATAAAGAGAGAGAGGGAGAGATAGAGAGAGGGAGAAGTAAACCAGAGAAAAATTAAAGGTAAATTAAATTATATTAGTTTTCATCAAATTTCATAATTTTCCGTACAAATTTCAAATTTAAAATGAAATTGCTAAATAAAAACCTAATTAAAATTTACGTTGAAAAACTTTGAAACCTTTAACTCTACATTTAAACCGAGAATAAAATATTTAAAAATGAAGCGGTGTCGTGGCTGGGCACAAATGAAAGATCTAGAGGAGTACTTTCCGAATCTGTGGACTTTATAATCAAAAAGAATTTCAGACTTAGGAATTTTTTGCATTTTCTGAAGAATTATCGCTCAATTTTAGGGAAATTGCAGATAAAAGGGTCCACAGAACAGAAACTAAAAATGAAGCGGTGTCGAGGCTGGGCACAAATGAAAGGTCTCGAGGAGTACTTTTCGAATCTGTGGACCTTATAGTCAAAAAGAATTTCAGACTTAGGAATTTTTTGCATTTTCTGAAGAATTATCGCTCAATTTTAGGGAAATTGCAGATAAAAGGGTCCACAGAACATAAACTAAAAATGAAGCGGTGTCGAGGCTGGGCACAAATGAAAGGTCTCGAGGAGTACTTTTCGAATCTGTGGACCTTATAGTCAAAAAGAATTTCAGACTTAGGAATTTTTTGCATTTTCTGAAGAATTATCGCTCTAATTTAGGGAAATTGCAGATAAAAGCGTCCACAGAACAGCTACTAATAATGAAGCGGTGTCAAGGCTTCATTTTTAGTAGCTGTTCTGTGGACGCTTTTATCTGCAATTTCCCTAAATTAGAGCGATAATTCTACAGAAAATGAAAAAAAATCCTAAGTCTGAAATTATTTTTGACTATAAGGAAAGTACTCCTCGAGATCTTTTATTTGTGCCCAGCCACGACACCGCTTCATTTTTAAATATTTTATTCTCGGTTTAAATGTAGAGTTAAAGGTTTCAAAGTTTTTCAACGTAAATTTTAATTAGGTTTTTATTTAGCGATTTCATTTTAAATTTGAAATTTGTACGGAAAATTATGAAATTTGATGAAAACTAATATAATTTAATTTACCTTTAATTTTTCTCTGTTTTACTACTTCCTCTCTCTCTTTCTCTCTCTCTCTTTATTAACCCTTTGCGATCCGGAGAAAAAATCACATTGGTTTGTGTCTTTGCTAATTAAATTTAAATTTATCTTGACGGACATAATTCCTCCTCTGAATTGATTTCTACTAAATTTGTTGAGGTATTTGTGTGCATCAAAGTTTTAGAATAAATGTAGATTTGTTCGAATTGGTCACCTTTGGCACGAATTATGGCCCGAATTAACGGCAAATGAAACCGTCACACGCGGCCCGAATGTTGTTCTACGGTATTTTGGTCCATTCCCGGCGAAGTGCGTACTTGAGGTGATCGGCACTTTGGTATTTTTAGTGCCAACCTTGCTTTCCAAAAAAGTGAAGTGAGGAACCTCATTTTGTAACCATTCTTAGGTGGTGCGTGCTGAGTGCGATGGTGCTGAGTCCTGTTGAAATGTGCAAGGTCTGCGGTGTCGAGGCTGGGCACAAATGAAAGGTCTCGAGGAGTACTTTTCGAATCTGTGGACCTTATAGTCAAAAAGAATTTCAGACTTAGGAATTTTTTGCATTTTCTGAAGAATTATCGCTCTAATTTAGGGAAATTGCAGATAAAAGCGTCCACAGAACAGCTACTAATAATGAAGCGGTGTCAAGGCTTCATTTTTAGTAGCTGTTCTGTGGACGCTTTTATCTGCAATTTCCCTAAATTAGAGCGATAATTCTACAGAAAATGAAAAAAATTCCTAAGTCTGAAATTATTTTTGACTATAAGGAAAGTACTCCTCGAGATCTTTTATTTGTGCCCAGCCACGACACCGCTTCATTTTTAAATATTTTATTCTCGGTTTAAATGTAGAGTTAAAGGTTTCAAAGTTTTTCAACGTAAATTTTAATTAGGTTTTTATTTAGCGATTTCATTTTAAATTTGAAATTTGTACGGAAAATTATGAAATTTGATGAAAACTAATATAATTTAATTTACCTTTAATTTTTCTCTGTTTTACTACTTCCTCTCTCTCTTTCTCTCTCTCTCTTTATTAACCCTTTGCGATCCGGAGAAAAAATCACATTGGTTTGTGTCTTTGCTAATTAAATTTAAATTTATCTTGACGGACATAATTCCTCCTCTGAATTGATTTCTACTAAATTTGTTGAGGTATTTGTGTGCATCAAAGTTTTAGAATAAATGTAGATTTGTTCGAATTGGTCACCTTTGGCACGAATTATGGCCCGAATTAACGGCAAATGAAACCGTCACACGCGGCCCGAATGTTGTTCTACGGTATTTTGGTCCATTCCCGGCGAAGTGCGTACTTGAGGTGATCGGCACTTTGGTATTTTTAGTGCCAACCTTGCTTTCCAAAAAAGTGAAGTGAGGAACCTCATTTTGTAACCATTCTTAGGTGGTGCGTGCTGAGTGCGATGGTGCTGAGTCCTGTTGAAATGTGCAAGGTCTGCGGCCAAAATGTTTGCGTGCGGGCTTTAATACACCTTCCAGAATATTTTCGCGATAATTTTCGACATTTATTCTGATGCCACGGTCGATTAATGCGGATGGCGCCCATCGGCTGTTATGGCGGATCACACCATCACCATTAAGTTCTTGCACTTTTTGGAATTTCAATGCCTTTACCCCGAGCTCATTTTTCAATATTTGCCGAATGGAATACTGCGATATGTTCAGCTCACGAGCGTTTGACTTTATTGCAGGTTTTTTATCTCACCCTGTATATATCAACTTAGAAATAATACCTTTGAACAACGCCGCTAAAATCTAGAATTACGGAATATATGGTGGCATCATTATGGGGGTTAAGAATTTTATGACAAATTTGTAGAGGATGTGACCACGTTCGAAAGGAGTTTTTAACATTTTGACAAGAAAACCAAAAATACCACTTTGGTGACTCGCTTGGGGATTAAAATTTTCATCAGTAACATTGCCGAAAATACTATATATCTAAAATTCAAGTATCCCAACGAAGTGTAAATCTAATATTTCAAAAAATATGGAAGAGGGAGGAACTTTCCCCCTCTATTTAGGTTAATATGCGATGTAAACCTTCAAAACGCCGATACACGTGCTTTTTCTTTTTGAAGCTCTATTTTCATTATATGCTGGATTGTTCACTTAATTATTGTCTGTGTTGCACAGTGTTATTAACCTATTACATGTATGCACTATTTGCTGATAGACCTGAGGTTAATTTGCTCCCTTGTATTCACTTGGTTATTTGGAATAAATTAGGAAGTACACATTTAATTGTTCATTTGAATTGCTTTATTTCTTTGAGCTTATAATCATATAAGAGAGCGAGTACATCTCTTTAAAATTTAATTGGTTTTGAAAATGTCGATGGCAAAAAACAAAAAACGATGTTCCTCCTTCTTCCAATGTTTATGCAACTGATATAATTAATGTGCATTTTGTGAAAATATACAGAAGAAATCATTGTTTTTGGAGGATGACACCCTATACAACACTGGTGAAGAATTAAGTTTTTTCTTGCATAATATTTCCTTAATAAAAATGTTCGAAGCGAAAACAAAAGGGTCTATATATACCATAATCAATTTCTGAAAACATTTCCTACCATAAAAAATTCCTCTCGATGTACCAAATTCGAAAACTTGACTCTAAAAACAAGTCATTTTCACATTCGATATCAATAATATACTTTGTTTTATTGTAAGTTAATTTAAATAAATGGTTCATAATAAATAATATTATTTTTTATCTTACCTTAAGTGTTCAAGAGCCATTCCTCGCTTTAAAATGATTAATAACCTTGGCTATAATAAAAACATATTGGTATAATAAAAAAAAAAACAAAATATGATTCTCGAAAATACACTAAAATTTTACCAATAATTGAAATATACCTTAATTGCAGAAAATAAATAATTTTAATACGCATTTATACTTAACTTGCACATATAAATGCAGATCTAAATGAAAATCTTTATACATTTGTTATATACTAAATATTTATTTATTATTGCATTTTGTTATAAAATAAAAATTTAAATTATTATAAATTCATGGTATATTGTATGTAGCTTATAATAACAGAAATAGGTTTGGGTTAATTGAAAATATTATATTTAATTGACATCTAACTTATTTTGATATTTTATATTGAATGGGCAAGTAATAATTGACAAGATTTCTGATTCAATAAGGTTTCCTTTTTGCATTATGAATTTTTAAATTGTGTAGGTATAGGTGTTAATTTTTTTAATAAAATTTAAACTTCATATTCGAAACATTTATGTTTTAATTCAAAGTTAATGAATGCAAACTATTTTCTAAGTTTGGTTCAGCCGATGTAAAAGGGTATTTTTGCATAGAGGCTGCACAATTTTGAACCATTGCAAAATAATCCAACTGAGTTGAAAGTATGCTATAAGTATGTACAGGGTGAGATGAAAAAACTGCAACCAACTTCAAACTGCTGTAATTTCTAAGCCACTAGTCCGACATCTGTAAAATTATTCCAGTGACAGTTCATTATATTGTTTACAAGCGTACCAAAGCATTTTGATAAGAATTTTCCAGAAAAAAAGTTATTCGTGATGGAATTCAAGTGTGATAATGTGATTTCTTTATATATTTGGCTGGAAAACCACAAGTCGTTAGAGCACCACTCCAGCATTTAAATGTGAATAAATCTTTTGTGTCTCGTACCATCGCTCGTTACCATGATACTGGTAGCGTAGCCCGACGTCAAGGAAGTGAACGGAAGAAAACAGCAACATCACCAGAAATGGTTCGAAAAATAAAGAAGCGACTTGATCGAAACACGCGTCGCAGAAGCAATATTCCATTCGGCAAATATTGAAAAATGAGCTCGAGGTAATGCCATTGAAATTCCAAAAAGTGCAAGAACTTACACCGCAACAGAAAGAAAATAGACTCAAAAGAGCTAAAGAGTTGCTTCGCTTAGCCGAAAGTGGTGAACTGCCGAATTTGGTTTTTTCCGATGAGAATCCATTTGTTGTCCAGCAGTTTGTAAACAAACAAAATGATCGTGTTTACTTGCCAAAGAGGTCAGCTGAAAATATGCACCTTCGGAATTCAAGCACCGACCATGGTGTGGGCCAAAATAACAGAATAAATGCCGAATATTATCGCGTAAATATTCTGGAGGGTGCTTTGAAGCCTTGGGCACACAAACATTTTTACCGCAGACCTTGGACATTTGAACAGGACTCAGCACCATCGCACCCCACACGCGCCACCCAAGAATGGTTACATAATGAGGTTCTTTCCTTCATTTCCATGACCATCAAAATCTCCCGATACAATCCGTTGGACTAATGTGTCTGGGGTTTTTTGGAAAGCAAAGTTGTAACTAAAAAAATACCAAAGTGTCGATCACCTTAAGCAAGCGCTTCGCCGGGAATGGGCCGAACATTCGGGCAGCGTGTGACGGTTTCATTGGCCGTTTAAAGGCCATAATTCGTGCCAAAGGTGGTCAATTCGAACAAATCTAATTTATTCTAAATTTGATGCCATTTCCGACATTTTCATTCAATAAAATTTAAAAAAAATTATGTAAAAATTATGGCTTTTGACTTTGTTGCAGTTTTTTTATCTCACCCTGTATACTACATATATATACTATAAAATATGGTATTTGATTTATATTAAGTGAGGGAAAATATGACATTGATGCTAAAAAAAAGCGCCTGAAATCAAATAATGTTTTGTAAATTTACCAAGCATAAGCAATTTATAACATTAGCTTTTGTTGCTATTATTACAATAGTAATTTACTGTTTATCATTAATATCACTTATTATTAAGTGTTTTCTTTATCTTTTTAATATTATTTTGATAATTCTCATATTAAAGAATTACTGCTTCTAGTACATAAATTCCCCAAATATTCCATATATTCCGATAATTTATATAAGAAACTTCTTTAGAAGATAAATTACAGTTTATAATAATTAAATCCCCATAAATATTCCAAAACTTATGTAAGTAAGGTATGTTTATTTTATAAATAATAAAATTAACACAAACTGTTGTTACATATGCATAAAACTAATTGATTTTGAAGAATAAGGAATCCATCCTCCCCTAGGAAATTATTTTTAGTTCTAAATCTTTGTCAACAAAGAAGACTTATATATAAACTATTGACTAATTACTGCTTAACTAAACGAAAATAAATGAATATTAAAGCTCCCAACAGGTTAAAGATGTTTTCAGTAATTGAGATAGTATCTTGGGGCATGTAGGGCAATAATTCAAATTGTCAATTACATTTTAAACAACAAATTTAAACTTATTAATTTCTTAGAAATTTATTTTGTAACGCAAATATGTTATATGTAAAATAATTAATTGTAAAAATATTTGAGACAATAGGCAAGAAAAAGTACATACGGAAAACATAAATATATGTAATTAAAATAAATGTTTCTTATTTCATAAGTTTGTCTTATTATTCAAAATATGCTTTATTTATTCTAGTGTTATTCCATACATATAACTATGTTTCCTTCATCGGTAGCATGTAACATATACGTTAAGATATCTTGCGTCTATAGTAGGTGATTTTAATTTTCTCGGATGTTTAATTGCCTGAATTAAAAATAAAATACATTTTAATTAATAAAAAGTATAACTTACTCTCTAGTTGGATTTTCTATTTTCGGTATTTTGTCAAAAGCAACCGATTTATTAGGCTTGGTGTACAAACGAATATGGGATCTTGTAGGATTTATTATTGCAAAATACTTCATAGACTAATGAAGAAAAAATATTTTATTTCAAAACTAATATAAACGGAATTATTAACTTAATTTAAAATAGCTTGTACATAACATTGTCGTCTAAACATAATAACCATAGACGTTCTCAAGTCCATGGAATAAAATTGATTCATTATGAAAACCTCTCATAACTGTTTGATATATATTAATACATAGAAAGAAGCTGTACCTCCATAAACGAAATTGTCTGTGGACCGGAATAGAAAGAATGCAAGGCATATGAAAAATGTATATAATCTATTTTCTGATCGATTCCCATTTGTGTCCCTTAATTTATCGAGTTTTCCCTAACTAATTGCACACATTAAGAACATTTTGTGTTTCTGAATGATAAATAACTTCCTAATCAAATGGGTTATATAAGTCCCATTTATATCCCTATAATATACACAAAACAAAAATATATAACCATTACACAAAACTCAACATACCTTTTTAAGATTTTTGAAAATTCACATCTAGCGACGATATTTATTGCCATTTACCATCGAATTTGGGGGATAGCCTTGCGGTGGCGCATTATCTGAAAAAAAACAAGGATAAAAGTTTTGTATTTTATATGAAATTTAAATAAATAATTGTATATAAACACCATGTGAAAACGAGAGATTTAGTCAAATCGCATAGTCTACACAAAGAACGAAAAACTTCGAAAACATCTAATGATGAGGAGGTATTGTTATAAGGGGGCTATAACACATAGCAAATTACAGATGATTTTATTGGGAATTGGTACCAAAACTATACAATTTCGAAAAACAGGGGACTATAACGGACCTATGTTTGGTGGATTTCAACTAATCACTCTGAATTCGAAGTGTCAAAGTATATCTGAGTAATTTGAGTTAAGGCAAAGGTACGGTAATTTTGTACATTTTATCAAAGTTAGGTCAAAAAGAGGGCGAGTCTTAGTCACCGCAAGCCTTATGGACATACAAATAAGCCTGAATTTCTACCTCTAGTCTGCTCTATTGGTAGAAATGTATGGAGAAAAGGATTCGTTAATTCATGCTTAAATATAGAAAAGTACTATTTTATATTCTGTTAAGAGTTCCGTATTGTTGTTAAGGCCTATTCCGCTGACGTGTACCAGATTTGGTAAGGTATCTCTCTCAAAGGGCATTGTTATAAAGTATCATCTTCTTCCCCGCATGTCCTGCAAGTAGTAGAGTCCGTACAACCCATTTTGTATAAGTCTGCTAATTTTAGCTTTAATTAATGATATTAAGTCATTTGACATATCTTCATTTGGTTCCTTAATAGGGATGTGAGTATAAATCTAATCTATCACCTCTAAAAATTTTGCACCCTCCAAATTCTTGTCCCTAAAACTTCTGACATAGTTCGTCAATGAGTTTAACTTTTCTTCTAATCCCTTTTTTACTGGTACAGTCTTTGCCTTAAATGTATTGGCTCTTATTGCCCTAATGGCTAATTTGCTGTCCGTTAGGATATTTATGGTAGTTGTTGCTTAGAGCCTTCCTTCCTGGTGAATACTCATAGTTCCGTTTTTGTGTTTACATGAAATCTTCTTAGCCAGCTCAGTTATAAGATATCTTCAGGATCGATTCGGTTTTTCTGCACACTAAATTTGGATTCCTTTTTCTTCTCTCCCCAAAAAATGTTTACCATTTATGCTTTAACATATTGGATATCCAGTTCCGAAGAAATCGGTAACTTTTAATCACAGGAATCTATTTTTAACCTCGATTAAGGCAAAATATTTTTTTGTGACTCAAAGATAAAACAAGTATAAACCAAATAATATCTGGTTCTTGCAAACCGATATATACAATATTATTTGAGAATCATTTGAAAGCATACGGAAATAATTTCCAAAATGTGTTATTTAGCTCCTACGATATTTGTCTTAGAAATCATGATGTTGAGATTTTCTTTTTTGAAAACAGGTATTTTTTACTGTAAAAATACCTACAAGTTATAACATGTCTACCGATTGTGTGCTTTTCTGGGCCATCTCATTCTAGAGATACCTTCCAATTGATACTGTCATTTTCTATCCTCAATTTCCTGGCCTTTTAAAGCTATTTATTTGCCCCAACATATGTCTCACTACTTGACTAGTCTTGTTACAGATCGCGAAATTTTTGTTTCGTTTGTCCAACTGTAATGAGTACACTACACCTGACCTCCTCATTGACATTGATAAGATTTCTATTAACTGGAATTAGTTCTACACAATTTCACTTTATGCTACTTATCTCTAATTTTAATCCACAGTAATGTCAAATGTTCACTTACTGTATTGATTGTTATGTTGGACATTGTAGGGGTTCATGCGATTTGAATACACGTTTTGATGTTTTGTCGGTCCACCGCCGTAATTCTGTTGATAGCCACTACCGAAATTATTTGCCGCTGGTGGCGGAGCTGGCGGCTGCTGTTGCGGGTAGATATTGTTGGCTTGAGGATGTTGCTGATGTGGCGGTAATGGTGGTGGACAATTATTATGCATAGGTGGTGGCTGTTGCCAATTATTTGGCGGTGGTGGTTGAGCAACGGGTGGCCTTTGTACTGGAGCTGCCGTTACGGGTGGCGGTGCACCTGACCACTGATTATTTTGCCAATTAGATGTTGGTGGTGGTGGCGGTCCATTAGGCAATGGTGCATGTGGTGGAGGACCATTGTTCCAATTATTACCTACCCCAGCTGAAGGTGGAGGATAATTATTCCAATTGGGCGGTTGAGCTCCCATTGGTGGAACTGGGGGAGGTACCGGGGGCTGTGCATAATTTCCATAGTTTTGAGGAGGCATCGATTGGGGGTATTGTTGGTTGTGTGGTAATGGTGGTGGTCCAGTAGGAGGACCATATGTGTTATTTGGTGGTAGTGGCGGCGGTGGAGCCTGTTGTCCAACTTGTGGATGTGGAGGCGGTGGACCCCACTGATTGTAGCTTGGTGGAGGAACTTGCTGATATGGAGGCATTTGTTGGTATTGTGGTGGTGGCGCTGGTACCGGTGGACGATTCATTGGCGGATATCCTCTTGGAGGTGCATATTGGTTTGGTGGTGGCGGTCTTATATTGTTGTTATTATTGTTATTGCTGCCCATCTTCATATCTACTCTATTACCCAATGGTTTTTCTGGATTTCTGTTATTTTCCTTTTCCCCAATCTTTTTCTTTGGCTCATCTTTTGTGTAAACAGATTTCTTGACATCGATTAAAACATTTTTAACCACATGAGTCGTTTGTACTGTAAAAAAACATATACATTTAATTTTTTAAACGTTTTTTAAACGTTTTATTTATTAATACTTACATATGGCCTTGTCAACAGCATCATAGTCGTCATATTCTACCAGGGCAAAACCTCTACGTTTTCCAGTGGTATTGTCAATTAGAAACTCCACGGATATAACATTCCCATATTGAGAGAAATAGTCCTTAAGGCATTGTTCATCGTGGTCATCTTTTAAGCCACCAATAAACAATTTCTTCACTGTGTGATTTTTCTTATTATCCTTAGCCGATTGTTCCGTTCTAGGTAATGCACGTTTGGATTCCACTTTTCTGAAAGCACAATTAAATTTTCTTTAGAAGTGTCAACCCAACTCAGTTTCCTCGATCAGCACTTACTTGCCATCAATAATATGAGGCCTACTTGCTTGAGCCTTATCGACCATAGCTATTTTGGTGAATGTTACAAAACCAAAACCCCTACTGCGTTTGGTTACCGGGTCTCTCATAACAACGGAATCTACTACTTTACCCCATTTACTGTAGAATTTACGTAGATTTTCATCTGTCGTCTCCGCAGCAAGACCTCCAATAAAAAGTTTTCTCAAATGTTCCACTTCGCAAATTTCCTAAAATGATATACACACACATACCAACAATTTTCAAAGAGGATCCTCACAAGCCTTTTGTATTGTTTTAACTTACATCATCCTCATCGCTGACAGTAACAGTATTTTCGTTTTTCACCTCCACCACATCGTTATCTTCTTCAACTTTAGAAACCATTCTGTATTTCTTTTTTTATAGATCTGTGTTTTTATTTCTTTTATTTTTCAAAAATAAGTTGTCTTTCCGGAACGAACTAGTATGTTTGCTAGCTATTCACTGGACAGAAACTGTAAGAGCTAGTTTGAATTCTTTCGTTCAATTGGTTCCTCAATTCATTCGCTTCCTTTAGTTCACTCAATAAACAGCTGATGAAAATAGAGTAACAAAGTTGAACAATTGGTCTGTTCCAGAACTGCAAGAATGTAAAAGTTTTTACTTCGAGCAATAAAGGTGCAAATACATAAAAAGCTTGAAGTCATGGCTAGGCATATTAATGTCAAATTATAATAGAAAACGACGGCAGGATTTTAGTGCGGCTCTGTAATCCCTTTATGAAATGTCACCAAATATGCCTAGCCATGACTTCAAGCTTCTTATGTACTTACACCTTAATTACTCTATTCCAGAACATGCAAGAATCTACTATTGCAATCAGTTGTCGTATTAAACATTTGTGTATTCTTGCAGTTCTGGAACAAACCACGGTACAACAAAAAGGTATGGTAGAGCTACCATCTGATAACAATTTTTTTTTTAAAGTGTGCCCTACTTATGTCAATTTTGTGTATGTATTTATTATTTTGAAAAAATAAAAACAAAACATTTTCAAAATGGAAGAAGCTTACAGTACGTTTATATATAAATGGGTTAACCGACTGGATTTGGATTAAAATTGTCATATCCATTATTTATACTTCAAATAAATCCTCTCAAAGTAGGTTAACCTTACAAAAAGTTCTAACGTAAACATAGCATTAAATTGCGGAGCGGTCACTAATGATATTAACCAGATTTGCCATGGAATTGAAAGATTGAATTCTTAGGATCATATTTTTGAGAGAATATCCAGGCATTTCATTCATCTTTCGAGCTATTTGACTCATTTTAAAAATGAACAAAAAATATCAAATAAATGAAAACAACTTGTTGGATATAATTTTGAATTATTCTGACAGGAAGCGGGCATAGCATCTGGGCTGTATTTATGTAGTTTAACGAAGCTGTTCTACCTCCTAATTGTACCATGATATTTATTGCTCTAAACTGAAAGAATGTTCAAATTTTTACTGTGATGACCGATTTTTCCTTTTTGATGGAACATGAGCAATGAATATAAAATTCAAATACTTTTGATCGTCCAAAATCGTGGAGTAAAAAATCTCTAAAAAATATACAAGTAAAGGATGATATAGGTATTACATTGGTTTAAATACCTCATGCACTTTTCGTGTTTTGTTTCACTGTCAAACATATTTAGTGGGGTCTAAAATTTCACCATGAATCCTCTTACGAACGAACACCGCTTGCAAATCATTGAAATTAATTATTGATTTTTGAGTGGCGATCAGCTAGAAACATTGCAATAGCTACCAATGCATCCAGAAAAAGTTACTGTTTGGATCGGATTTCAACGAATATAAATAATTTTTTTATTAAAATTTTTCAATTTCAAAATTGGTTTGACATTTCATTTTCCCAGCAACTGTGTCGATGTGACTACCTGTATTCTTCTATCATAGGTTTATGGGTAGCATTGAGCCGTACTTCATCAAAGATGCAGCGTCGTTTCAACGAGACGTTCGGTACGGGCCCATTAGTTCTAAGATCGTGCAGTTTAACGTTTTTGTGGGCCTATATAAAACATCATATCTATACATACAGACGAGCCCACTTCAATTGACGCATAGAAAGACAAAATTGAAGCACATATTATTGTGGAGAGATTTCGGTTTCTGGGTCTTCAATAAAATTTTTCGATTAATATAGGAGTCACTGTCTGGTATTAACCTTTCACGCAAGGCAGTAATTCGTAGTATGGTTCGTTGATTTTATATATTGTGCCCCTTTTTGATGCACTCGTCCATCGCCTTTATCCATAAGGTGAGAATACATATAACGCTTTTTTGACTGGCTTAAGTCATCAGCTGGATTCTTCCGAAAAGAACAAAGCAGAAAATCGAAATAAGTCAAACTAAAAGTCCATTGTTCCCTACGAAAAAGCCAGCCGATGACTTAAGCCAGTCAAAAAAGCGTTTTATGTATTTTCACCTTTACATCTGCAATGGATCAATGTACAATTAAATCAAGGTAACCGCACTTCAAATAATAATAATATCCAGCTATGGATTTTTCTGTAATTTAGCTTGTTAAATTAAACTTCACTAAAATCACATCCACATCCCTGATTTGTGTATATTCAATGGATTTATAAACATATAATTTTGAAAATGAGATGTTGTCAAATGTATAATTTTGAAAAAATTACAAATATATGATTACCTGACGTTACTTTCTTAATTTTCACCGTACACTGGCTGCTTTAATTTTTATATAGATTTCGATATTGAATATATATAGGATTGCCTCTAATAGTACGTTTATATATATATGAGGGTTAACCCACTAGATTTGGATTTAAATTGTCATATCCATTACTTTTACTTCAAATAAATCCTCTCAAAGTAGGTTAACCCTACAAAAAGTTCTAACGTAAACATGGCATAATGCTGTAGTTGGAGTAGTCCACGGCACAATCAGAAAATGTAGTTTAACCTCAAAGAACTAAAAAAAAAACTTGTGTCAAATAGCCTTTTTATCATGAAAAAATTGTTTTGTTTTATTTCAGCAAATTCATATTCAATTGCAGAAAATGCAGACATAAATATGCTCATTTAAAAAAAAAAAAAAAAACTTTTCCTTCTTAATTTTGTCATGTATTGAGGTAAACCCATGGTACAATAAAATCAAGGTGGGACTATGATACCATATGATTTTATTTTCATGGCCTAGTATGTCAACCTTATTTGTTTATGTGAGTGTATTCTTTTCAATAATAACAACTATTTTCAGAAAATATTCAAATTCGGTTGTTTTCAAAATGCTTATTACAACGTATGCATCGACAAAATCTACAATTTTTGTTGCGAAATAAACCTTTAGAAATATATAGAACACGATTTTCAAAATAAAGTTTGACCTCTCATTCAGTTTTCGCGGTTTTCATTTATTTATTCATGTTTTGATAGAAATTCTGACATTACCAGCCAATCATATAGACCTCCATACTTGCATTTTCTTTTAAGCTAGCCTATCTTGTCTTCATTTTACTATGGGTAAACCCACAAAACATTATTTCACAAAATTAATTTGCTTTTTTCCAAAATTGTAAAATGTTTAACCTATTAAATATTAATTTTTGTTTGAAATAAATTCAAATTGTTTTCTTAATTATTAAAAATCGTACAAACTATGCAATGTTTTGACAGAATTATCCTTCCTCCTATTATTGCATCATGTGGAAGCTATCAATAGCTCTCCACAAAATTAAAAATGCAAACGTCAATAAAAATACAAAAGAATATGTCATTACGAACTATCTTCTTCTATTAACCATTAACATTCTACAATAAACAAAGACTTGCCCCAAGTAAACTTGCCTAATGCAAATAGGGACATAATTAATATAGCCAATAATCTGTTTGTTGTTGAACTGTAAGTCAGGCAATACCGCATCTGTGTATGACGGCTGAGTTGAACTTTTGACTCGGTTGCGGAATTTTAAATGCCGACACTTGTATACAGCTCGGCTATGATCTATTGATAACAAGTGCGATATGGCAAGCAACAACAACAATGCATATACACAAAATTTCTTATGAACCGGAACTTGATAAAAGGAAAGTTTCTATAGCCTGTTAATTAATGTATACGATATTTTAACATAATCAAGCTACAACAATTCTTTTAATTAAAATAATGAAGCCTTATTTTTTCTCTATACACAAAATGGCCACAGTCAAGAGAAATTTTCTGACAGGTTGCCGTATTGCTCATGAAAATAGTTGCCGTATGAAGATTTCTCACGATTGTGCCACTTTGTTCACAAATGGCATTGCCTCATTGGAATTTTGGGAAATTATTTTGCTATTTTCTCCTCGAAATCGAGTAGAATTCATGAGGGTGATATTATTTTCATTATAAAAAGAAAATTTAAAGATGTTTTGCGTTGTTGTTTTGTGAATATGAGAGAAAATTTATTAAAAATCATTGCCATAAAACATATGTTGGGTCATGAATGGCAAGACTCTAACATACAAAATGGCTGCTTCGGGGAGTTGCCCATTTGCCAAACAATCTATTTAGTTGGCAATCAGCTGTTTCAAGTAGTGATGTTTCTTGAAAAAAAGTTGTGTGTGAAAAAATTTGTAAAATTTTAGTTTTTTAATAAATAAAATTAGAGTTTTAATAACAAATATTGCAAAAAACTAAAGGGTGAGTTCAGATCGCATAAGATTGTAAAAGCCCAGTTTGGTGAAAGTTCAAAGTTTTCAAGCAATCAAAGGTGGAAAATTTTCCTCAGAAAATTTGCATTTCTGACCATTTTTTTCTCGTTCGTCTAAACTTGTGTGTGAATGGTTACGATTTTACGACCCTTTTTTATATATATTAAGATATATATAGTGTGTGACAAAACAAAGAAAATATACGAAAAATACATTTTCAAATGTCAATAATCGAATAAAAACATAAAATACAATGCAAATTCAATGAATTTTGTGCAAAATTGCAAATGAAAAACGGTGTATCGGTGTGAAATTCGACAAAAGAAAATTGCCTAAAATAGGTTAATTTCAGCAACAAAAATACTGTAGAGAGCCAGCCAGCCAGCTAACCAACCAGCCAGCCAGCCACCGCTGCCACTCGTTTTGCAACTTGAAAGGTGTGTGTGTATGTCGCATTTTGAATGGTGGTAGCCTTGCTGGAAAATACAAAAAAAAAATATCTCTTCTAAAAAGATTATACAAAAAATCTGGATAATTATGTGTTTAGTGTAACAAAATAAAATGTTTCAATTATTTATTATTGAGAACAAGAAGAAGACAAGCCAGCAGCGGCAGTAGCAGCAGCAAACATATCCAATAAGACACAAAAATATGGATTCCACACATACGTACGCACAACGCACAAAACACGTACAGATACAATTTGGAAGCAACACAACCACCACACCTAAGAGGAATGTGCAAGGGGAAAAGAAGCACAAACAATTGAAGATGGGAAGCAAAGCAAGAAATAATAAATACAAAAAGAGTACACCACCGAAAAGCCATTCCAAAAAAGATTCAAAGCCACCAAAAAAACAATTTGCTTTTTGTTTTTTTTTTTCTTTCTTTATTTTGCTTGAGCATTTGATTTTTTACAACTTCAAAATGTACCTACCTATATGCAGCCATGGATAATAAAGTGAAAGGATATACACGACGTAACGGCATAACGACGCAGAAGTGTAGACAAACAACAGAGTCAGTCTGTACTGAATATGCCACCACCTGTTTGATAATACCAATAATAATAATTGTCGTAATTGTAATTAATTCAATGCAATGCTGAGATGGATTGGTACCTCTGTCATTCGATTTCGAAATTCTTAAAAACATAAATTTTTTGTTGTTTTGTGGCAAAAATTATGGCTTCCATTCCAAAACAATTCTTGTCTGTTTAAGTTGTGTACCAATATCATCTAATAACTACAAAAACCTACGAATCAAATTTTTATTTGAGGGAATCCCCCTTTTTGGAGAACTTCATTAAAAATCTACAAATTTCCAAACTATTCTTGAATACGCACATTAAATTGAATTTTAAATGAATTGGCACGGCTTATTTTATGAACTGGGGTACAAACAGCCATTGACTCTCAAGTCTGAATAGACAGTGCTGATTTTAGGTCAGAATACGAATATAAATTTCGTCTTACCGTGCTGTAGTTGAACTGAGACCGTTCTAAAATCTTTAACACAAGTATATCAAAAAATTTCGATGCACATTTCCGCATATAACAGCATACTCAACTTGAATCTAACCCGTAGTGGGATTCTTTCACTCAATTTTTGAATTCCCGACAAAAATCGGTAACTTAGAAACCCAAAATGTTGATATAAGAAAAAAGTTCCAGTTGACAACATTGGTGCTTATCGGTAGGCCTTAGCGACTACTTTGATTTCGTCGCTACCTTTCCGACAAATTTTTTTACCGACTTTTGTTGGTAACTCAAGAAATGAGTCGGAGCATTCCAATACCGGATAATTACAATTACCTAATTTTAGTACTTTTCAAATTATTCTTCTTTTATGTGACACAAGTATAAAATATAATTGTTATTTACACATACTTATAATAACATTTAATCTTATTCTTCCTTGACCGAGTTGGGCCTACAATTTCAACATAGAATTGACTAACGCATTTCCATTCTTTTGTCCATGTATTTCTGTAGCAAATGACAGAACGCCGTAATTGACCGATTGAGAAAAATATTTTGCACAGTCCATAGGCCCAAGGACGAACCCTATTTAAAATGGTAGTATTCGTATAGGATTTGTATTTAGTTATCATACATATATTCTATATCTGATCAAATATAATAGATTTTGGCACATCCCAGCAAATTGAATGCAAGTGGTTTTCACTTGATGATTTGCTTGGACTTCCGGCAACATCCGATCTCTTCTTCAACATTTGAACCAATACTTTTAATGCTGGTCACTTTCTGGAAGAGATTTCTATGCAGAAACATATTTAATTAAAGAACCTTTCCAGCATGTCCAGTATATACTTACAAAATGATTTGCAATTGATCATTTAAGATGACATTTTAGTTAGATATAGCTCCCATATATTACTTCCCCAAATGCTATATCTTGGCAAATAGAAACAGTTTTTTTTTTAACGGTGCGGTAACAACTTCGATAGTTAGGATCCCTAAAATCAATCAAGTTAATATACTTTTAATTTTAAGGCACTTTTGGAGTGAAGGAATGCACTGGAAAAATTAGGTCGTCCATCAAGCTCTCTTGGGTTCCAGGCGATTGCAACATTTCTGGTAATGAAGCAGCAGATAAATTGGCAAGGCGAGTATCCGAGTCATCGAAATTGAGGTAAAAAAACTCGGTTACTTTTGATTTTAAGTCACTTTTGGTGTGAAGCAATGCGCTGGAAAAATGTTAGGTCGTTCATCAAGCTCTTTTGGGTTCTAGGCCATTGAAAAATTTCTGGCAATGAAGCAGCATATGAATTGGCAGGACGAGTATCCGAGTCAATCCATATTGAGGTCGTCCATTCTGTTAAACCACCCTTGTGCCAATTCTTCTGAGTGATATATGAGCATTACTCCAGGAGATTTCAACAAAACTGGCTAAATGAAAGCGAATGTAATGCTTCGGAAGAAAATTTGGCATACTCTCTCCAGGAAGAGAAATCATGGCTAAATCAGACCTAAACCTTGTGGTGGGAATCATATGTAATATAAATGTCATGATTTCTAAGTGGAGTGGCGAAGACAGTGATTCCCTGCAGGCTCTGTCAGGATAAAGAGGATACTAAACGGTCGTGAGAATCTGCCTGACGGGGATCAAATTATGCACGATCTGTCTTCCATTCAACAACACAGAACCAAAAATTATTCTTCAGATAGCCGGAAGATTAAAGTGACTAAAGAAAACTAGAAAAGCACTAGTGCCGAAAGGGATGCCAACTCATCGTATATTTATCTTGGATACTACCGAATTACAGGAAATTGGTTCAGATGATGTATTTTGATCTACATTACAGCTTAGCATAGAAAAGCTATTACATTTTTGCTTCTATGCATAGTTTACCAGTAGGCAGGTTAAGTTCGAAAATGGGCCATGTCGGTCCATAACGGTATCTCTCGATATTCGGTATTGTCATGATTTTAGCGACAGTATTTACCGGAATTATTTGAAATTTCGTATTTAAAGTTCGTAATGGGTACTACAGCCTATGAGAAAAATTTTCGTAAGCAGGTCCACGTTTTCGTATTGTCTCCATATAACAGTTTTCATTTAAGTGGTATTTTCCGGATGTTTTTTGTAAAATTTCAAGTTCTTTCCAAATGGTGGATGATATTAAACTTAGCTGTTTTTTACTTGTTATAGTTCCGTCTGATTCCAAATCTATACAGCTCTTATTCTAATAAAAACACATACTTGCAATGGTTAGTGCTTTTCAATGAGCACAATGGGGTAGGGTATACTCGGCCTCACCCGACTTTTGTCCTTTTGCTTATTGGTTGGTTGTATTGAACTCGATAATATAAAGTCCAATTTCTTCATATTAACCATCCATATATAACCATGTTCGACTGTACTTTCGATCTTTAACGCTACTATGAGATAATTTATAACAGCGTTACCTGGCATTATCAGGGTGTGATAAGAAAAAATGCTTACTGAAGACCGGAAGCACGAATATTTATTGCTTGTAAAATCATTTTCTTTTTTGATGTTTAATAAATAGATATAATGCCACCAGCCGAAGTGTACAATGCACCAGTTAAACAGGGTGAGGTAAAAAACTGCAACAAAATCAAACGCCATAATTTTTACATTTTTTAAGTTTTATTGAACGAAAGCAAAAATGTCGGAAATAGCATCAAATTTTAGAACAAGTTTAGATTTGTTAGAATTGGTCCCTTTGACGCGAATTATGGTCTTCAAACGGCCAATTAAAACGGCCAAACGCTGCCCGAATGTTGCTCTGCAGTATTTTGGCCCATTCCTGCGAAGCGCTTGCTTGAGGTGATCGACACTTTGGTATTTTTTATGGCCAATCTTGCTTTCCAAAATACTCTAGAGACAATAGTCCAACGAATTGGTATCCGGAGATTTTGGTGACCATTGTGCGCTGAAAATGAAGGGAGGAACCTCATTTTGTAACCATTTGACATTTCGGGCTCTTAGAGATTATCGGCACAGCCGTTTTTGAAAACAAGTGCTAATTCAAACTTACCTTTCGAATGTTGGGATCCAATGGGTAAAAGCAAATAAATGTTTTTCTTATATTTCTTAAATATTTATTTCAGTATTACTTTTAAATAAATTTTGATTTTATGTTTCCACTGCTATATTATTCTTATTTCTTGAAATATAATTATCATAAATAATGAATATTGATGAAAAACTATTAGGTATGTGTTGTAAATCTTACATTATAACGTTTCTAATTCAAATGTCGTCCATGGAATGGATCTAAGACTAAAGAATTTTGTTGTTGTTGTTAACACGAGTTGGTGATTGAGTTGAAATTACAATCATTATTACTGGCATTCAAAATGCGACTGTGCCTTGGAACAATTGTTCCATTGATGTTGGTAATAGAACTTGAAGAAGTGGAGGTAATGTTACTACAATCACCAATACCACTAATAATACCGGTTCTTTGTAGAGTGTTATTATTACAACTACTACCACCACTGCCGCTGCTGCTAATATTCTTGTTGTTGTTGCTGCTGCTGTTGTATTTATGAAAACTATTAATGTCACCATAATTAACAATGTTATTGTTATGCACGTTTGTGGCATTGTTTATAACAGATTCGACTCCTGATGTTTGTTGTCGGGGTGTCACTGGCGTTGGGGGTGGCGGAGGTGGTGGTGGTGCTGCTGGTTGTGGTGTTTGTGGCACAGGCAAATGTAAATGCCTTTTTGGAGACATTATGGCTGTGATATCCTTAGATGTGACATTGAAATTTATAATATTATTGGTCGACTGCTGTTGTTGTTGTTGTTGCTGCTGCTGTTCATGTTGACCCATTACATCCTTGTGGTCATGTAAATGTGCTGCTGCTGCCGCATTTGAACGCATCGACAACGACGAGGATGTAGCAGTAGCAGAACTTGCTGTTGTCATCGAATGCAAATGTGTGGGCAATTGTTGTTGTTGCTGGACTTGATGGTAATGTTGGTTGTGTTGCTGCTGCTGCTGAAGGTGTGCTGCTGGTGTCTGTAGGTGGTGGTGATGATGGCTATGTGCTTGCTGATGATACAAATTCTGCTGAAGATTCGTTATCATTGATGTCGTCGGATGGTATGCCGTTTGACCCATTAAAGAGCTCATAAAACCATTGGCCACAACAAAACTCCTAAAAATAAAATACAATGAGACAGTTATAAATTATGTGCATTGGAAAATCATTAAATAATTAGCATTAGTTTTATGAACACACTGGGTTCTCTATTCATATTTTAATGGGAAATGTGTGCGTTTAAATGTCGTTAATGTCGCTGTGGCTTCGTGTTAAATTTATTACAAAACGTAAATCATTTTTAGGACTCGTTTTTCTTGTGACTGACAGACAGACTGTCTTTTTTTGATGGCAGTTTTATTTCTGTTTTTATTATGCTTCCTTGAGCTATTTTCTGCATTATTAATAAAATAAGATTATCAAAAAACGCAATCGACGTTGTTACCTTCTTAATAAATTTCTAAGTCTATGCATTAACTTATATCCAATAAGGTTAAATTTGCAATCATCTGTTTTTCTACTTTTTTAAAAAGTAGATATAGCTTCATAAGCCTTTAACGGGGTAAAAAAGCAAAAATTACGTGTGAATTGCTAAATTTTAAGAATCGTATAGAATCCGAGACATATTTTTAAGGATTACATTTGTATTGAATTTAATTTCATTGAAATACATTATTATTATTAAATTTCTTCTATTTACAAAATTGTCTCAAAACTATTCCGATTTTTGTCTTCTGAAGAATAACCGTGAGGAATTTCTATTTACGATTTTAATTTCTATTTCACATTTTTTTTAATGGGATTGTTTGAAACTTGGTATTTGGTTTTCCTAACGACCACTATATATTCTGGCTGAAAATTTTCTATATAGGTCTATATTTTTCTATAGGTCTTTATTTTCTATGGGTATTTTGACGCTTGTAGCCACATTTTCCAACAGAATTGTTCACAATTTGGTTTTTGACTTTCCTAATGTCCACTATTTCCTCTGGTCGAAAGTGTCTACATTTGTTCATGTTTTCCCACAGCCCATATTTCGATCACACAGCTAGAGATTTTTATATAGGTCCACGTTTTCCTAAACGGTGCATACTGTTATTCGCTACTTTGATGATTTCCGTCAGATTTCCCTACGGAATTGTTCCTGTATTTGTATTTGGAGTTTCTATTTCCCCTGGCATTATCCTATAGCCTCAATGTAACGGTACCTTCAGTATTTTTCGAATTTTAGCCACATTTTCTATCAGATAGATTTTGGTATTGGTAGTTCGTAATGGTTTTCTACTTCCGGTGTAATAACATCTATATATGTTAACTTTTTGCTACATCTTCCATATAACAAACATCCTTATATTCGGTATATTTTACTTGTTTAATTTGCATATTGTTGTTATTTTTTGGCCAATGATTATTTCTATTGTTTGTGTGTTTTAGCTTCTTGACCTTAGGTTTCATATACAAATTAAAACAAAATTATTTTATTTGTATTTTATTCCCGACGTTTCGTCGCTGTTTTGGCGACTTCTTCTGGGGAATTCGTAATATAATTTTTAAGACGAGTTTACATAGAACATATAATAAACTACACTACTTAAAAATTAATATCACAGTTTTTTTTATTGTTTGTTTTATCTATTTTCAATGAATTAAAACACATTTTCGATTTTGGGGTCTTGAGGGGCCTTGAATCTTTGCCAATTTAGTTTAATAATTTTTTAGAGCCTCTTAACAACTGGATCGTTTCCACAGTGGTAAGAATAAACCCTTTTTTAATTTTAATTCCGAATTTTGGTAAAACCCTTCCAGAAAAAAGATGGAAGCATATAGTTGGTTGGAATTGAGCTATTTCGACGACGATAAAGCAGTATTTGGATCTGTCTAAAACCCGCAAAAGAATGGCTCCCCTCATTACACCACTGAATCAACTACATTAGTGAACTTAATTCCTTATGATCCTCAGCATAATCATATGCTTTCTTTGTAGTATCTGGTTGGGTGCCGACACGACACCAAGGCATCTACGTGATTTAGAGAAGGATATCCAAACAGGGAATGAACTCGCTCTTTATTAGAGATTTTTTTAATATTTTGACATTTGTGTGAGCACATAAATCTTTTTCTGATACAAAAATATATTTTAAATCTACTCGAATGCTCCTTTTACTTTCATTGATTATGATTGCTTTTAATGACTATGGGTCGTTTATGGGCGAGATATCCGAAAAAATAGAAACGTCACATTACGCAAAATATTTTAATGTGGAATTTTTTTTAAAGGAAATCGAAATGTTGACCTGACGCTTTGTCACTATCTTCCATATTAGAACATTCCTTACCTTAGTCTGATATAAATATTACCACGTTCAGTTTGGACGATATATATCCTCTTCCCCTAATAAGAGACTTAACTTTAATATTTAAACTACTCTAAACGTTTAACTTTATTAGAGACAGTCCATTATAAAAAAATGTATTGCGATGAAGCAACTGCAACAATCCTGCTCAATGCCTTATTCCCTCTGGCTAAATTTTTCCCAAATTGATTTTTAGCTTCTGTTTCGATTTTCCATTATTTTTATCAAGATTTTTCCCTTGATTCCAATTACTAGCTACAATACCATATTGTAAAATTGATGATCTTACCTATACTGTTGATCGATTTGAGCCTTTTCAATGCGTTTATCCTTGGCTCGCCGATTTTGGAACCAAATCTTTATTTGAGTCTCGGAGAGATTCAATGCCTCGGCCAATTCAAAACGTTTGCTGCGCGATATATACTCATTACGATGGAATTCCACTTCGAGACGTAATGTTTGTTCATTACTGAATGTGGTGCGTTGGCGGCGTTGTCTACCCTCCTTGCGACGGCGGCGGGCCACTGAAAAAGAAATTTTGTTAAATGAAAATATATAATTTCTATTATTAGACAAATAACATGATAATTTTAGTTGGGAATAAATTTAATAATTTCTTTTCATATTATATATGTTATAATAAGCCATTATGAATATGAATTATCTTATCATTCGGGAATATTTAATATTATTTTTTATTCTTTTGAACATAATCAAGATTATCGAAAAAAAAAATGTGGTGAATTTGTCTTTCAGTTTTCAATGGCATGCGGTGTAAATGATCTATTATTTTGAAGAAGATTTGTTGTTTTTTTATTTTTCTAAACAATCCGCATCTACATCTGATAAGAGTGAAAAAAAATCAAATCTATTAGTGCATAGGAACATTTTCAAAAAAAAAAAAAAAACTTATACTAATAGAAATAGAAACAAATTTTAGTAACGTCATGATATGCTTCTAAACAGCTACGTCATGGTTATGGTTATCTCTGTTACCGTTCGACCAGACAACTAGCCGAACCAAACGTCCGACCGGCCGCCTCAGCAACCAACCACCCAATCACACCAGATATTTCATTGTTTATTTCAATTCGATGGCTATTTGGAATGAATCCAAAAAGTCAATTTTTTTTTCTATGTAAATTTCAAAATGAGTTGAAATTCGAAAGAAATTTTGTCTCTGAGCAAAGAAAACTGATATGTATGTGTTAATAGATTTAAAATTTAAAAAAAAATCTCTTACATTTTATTTGTTCACGCTTAGTCCTTTTGTCGCCATGCTTTCTACAACTAATAATTGTTTTTCTCAACTACTGGCAATATAATTGTTTATTTGCTTGCTTGGCAAAAATCAATAAAATTAGCCATATTTAAATTTGATTTTTTATTTTAAATCACATTAGCCGATGTTTGTTTTTTTTCTTTGTTTCAATATTATTATTGGCAAACACATTTTTTTGTGTTTGGAATACAACTCACATATAAATGAGATAGGTCGATCCAAAGATGATGAGGCTGATGACGTTTTTTTTGCAAACGGAATATTTTTTCTAACCTTGAATGTTAAGGCATGTTTTTACGATTTCAACCGTGTATAATCTGTATTCTATATGTTTTGCAAATAAAAGCCAATATTGAAAAAATAAAAAAACGTTGCAACGTGTAATCGCCTCCGCAGTCATTGAGTTTATTTTTTTTTTTTTTCAGTTTTTGTTATAAATATTTCGTTCGAACACCAAATTTAAAAACGGAATACAGTGAAACCTTTCAATTCTAAACGCATCCCATACAAATTGGAATTTTCAATTGTATAGCAAATTTTAATTACAGTCTTTTCCTTTTCAGAACCATTTCATATGTGTAGAGGGGATGGGATCTATAATTGTTATATTCCAACAAAATATCCAATTCAAATTTGAGGCCCCATGAAAACAGGAAGTGGTGATTATAGGATGCTCTGGGAAATTATTTTGTATAACCTGAAAGACTTTGCTACACAAAAAATCTTTAAAGGTCTGGATAATAACTATAACATTTGAGAAACGATCGGAGTGCACGCTTTTATGAAGGCGAAGTATTTAAAACATATATAAAGTATGAGGCCAATTTGATGCGAATGCATATCAATTGAGTGAAATCAACTGTATATAAAACATACATATGTGTATTTTCCAAAAACCTGAAAGTGTATTATCGTACCCCTCATTTGGGATTTGATCCTATTTTAATTTTTTTTCAACAAATGATAAGGGTATACATTTTTATATATTATATTCATCTGAGATAACATGTTTAGCTTCGGTTGTTGCATACAAGGTGTTCTTTATCGGCCGAAAACATGTCCTTCAGAAGGTCGAGATGTGGAAAAAGAAATAATTTTTCCATCCACCTATCCTATCTTCCCCTAATTTTTGAATGGTATTCCAAATAGTTTGAATATTTTGTCATGATTGCAGACTATGGCTTTGATAATTGCTTTCTTCGAGCGAGCCAATTGGGGATAGTCCCCATTTTCCATTCAAATGGTCTGTAGTTTTGTATTTAAAGTTCAATGTGGACTGAATGAAAATTCAACATGAAAACATGTCTTTCAGAAGGTCGAGATTTGAAAAAAAAACACATTTTTTCCATCCACCTGTACTATTTTTCTCTAGTTTTTGAACGGTCTTCCAACTAGTTTGAGTATTTTGTCATGATTGTAGACTATGGCATTGAAAATTACTATCTTTAAACGAATTGGGGATAGTCACAATATGCAAATATCAAATGACCTGTAGTGTTGTATTAGAAGTTCCATGCGGACTGAATGTCATCTTCGAAAAACGATAACTTCCGATTTACGGTAATTTGAGTTTTGAGCATTAATATCCATCCAATTGGGATACCTTGTAGATTTATAGCCAACTTGCCCTAAATGTCCAGTGCATGTACAATATTTTGAGAATTCCAGCATTATAATTTCATTTCCGCATCGGCAATGACATTGATTCTATCAAACAGCAGTTCTACAGGGTGAGATAAAAAAAAAACTGTAACAAAGTCAAAGGCCATAATGTTTACATTTTTTTAAATTTTATTGAATAAAAGGAAAAATGTCGGAGATAGCATCAAATTTTAGAATAAGTTTAGATTTGTTCGAATTGGTCAACTTTCGCACGAATTATGGACTTCTTGCTTGCTTTGGAATGTCCAAGGTCTGTGGCCAAAATGTTTGCATGCCCAAAGCCTTAATAAACCCTCCAGAATATTTTCGCAATAATATTCGGCATTTATTCTGATGCCACGGTTGATTAAAACAAGGGGAGACACACTCCATCACCATGTCCGGCGCTTGAGTTCTGGTGCCCAACCGAAGGTGCACATATTCAGCTGAACTCTTTGGCAAGTAAACATGATCATTTTGTTTGTTTTCAAACTGATGGACAACGAATGTTTTCTCATCGGAGAAAACCAAATTAGGCAGTTCAACACTTTCGGTCAAGCGAAACAACTCTTTAGCTCTTTTGAGTCTATTTTCTTTCTGTGCGGTGTGCGAGCTCATTTTTCAATATTTGCCGAATGGAATATTGCGATATGTTCAGCTTACAAGCCATTTTTCGATCAAGTTGCTTCTGTGCTTTTCGAACTATTTCTGCTGATGTTGCTGTTTTCTTCCGTAACCAGTATCACGGTAACGAGCGATGATACGAGACACAAAAGATTCATTCACATTTAAATGCCGGAGTGCTCTAACGATAGCCAAACGATTTGAAGCCAAATATAAAGAAATCACACTATCACGCTTGAATTTCCATCACGAATAACTTTTTTTCTGGAAAATTCTTACCAAAATGCTTTTGTACGCTTATAAACTATATAATGAGCTGTCACTGGAATAATTTTAACAGCTGACGAGAGGCTTTGAAATGACAGCAGTCTTAAGTTGGTTGCATTTTTTTCACTCACCCGGTATATTTTAATTTAGCCCACCTATTTCTGTTTCATTTCTTTAACAATTGAAAAAAATCCCTTAACAATAGTAAAATTGTTTTTATCTCACTCAAAATAGCTAAAGTTGGATAATAAGCTAATAAGAAAACGCCAGCATCCCTTTTTTTAATTTGCCGTTGAATACATATTCATTTCTATCATTGCATTTCCTATTCATACATTTCTTCTTCCAAGACATTCCACGTAAAATCTTAAAAAATAATTACAATAGTCAAAGAATAACCCAAGGAATTTCTACTCAATCCTATTTTTGATTGGCCAACATAAATATACCTCGGTTTGCCAACGGAACATCGACCGCTGGAATCACAATACAAATTCTTATTACAATACAAGTTTTTAATTTATATTTTTATGCTTCAGAAAGTTTTATTTGAAAATATGTTTTTTTTTTGCGTAACAATAATAATAATAGACCACAAGAGGGTAATATCCTACCCTCTAGGCAGGAGATGTGTGTTTGTCTGTCTCTGTGCCTGTCAATAAGTGGTGAGTGTTGTATCATCACACCCTCTCTCCAAGTGACTAGAAAAACCTCCAAAACAAACAGACTGACGAAACTGACGAGCCACAAACCAAATAGCCGAATTCAAGAATTTTTCACACTGTCAAACAGATGTTGGTATTGTGTGAAAATTCCCGGATCAGTTAAAAGATTTAATTGTTTCATAATTTTTTGTTCTTGCTGTTGGGTGTCTGTTTGTTGTCTTTATTATTTTGTCTGGCGAGGTGTGTGACAAACGGGTGGGCCAAGTGTTGCCATATTTTTGTATACAGTTCAAAAAGGACTTTTATGTCATGAGAAAGCACATACTTAAAACAATGGTATGACAAAAACCTAAATAAGTGTACTCGGCAAAAGTGGAATATTGTTTTGGAGTTACATACATATTACAATAATTCGTTCGGAAACCTGTGCTTCAAAACATGGTCATAAATGGAAAATTTGCTACGAAGAGATGTTCTATGTCCTGAAAAACTAAGATCCTAAATAAAAGAAAATCCTTTGGAAAATGTGGTCAAGTCCTTCGAAAAATATAAAACCCGGGTGTACCTTTAGGTGTTATACAAATATGTGGAACTATATCAATATTGATTATTTTATTGGAAGGACGGTTTCTATATACTTAAAATTCAAAAAAAAAAAAAAACAAAATTTGGACAAATGTGACATAAGCGTGAACAATTCAAAGCCCTCAAAGAGGGCCTTACCAATATTGGACTGGTGTGAACTATTTTTCCAACTAATGATTTGAGAAAATTTTTTGGAGTTTTTAGACATTTAATGTATTTTTCAACGGAACTGACTATAATTTGGTATTTGGCGTTCATTTTTAGTACGCCTACTTGGTACAAAGAAATTAAAAGCGGGCCAGGTTTTGCTATAATTCCATATAATTGTATTAACCGACTTCCGGTATTTTAAAAATGAGGTCCGTATTGGGCAACTGAATCGGCTATTGTTATTGCAGCACGAAAATTCGGCATAGGTACACGTATTGGTTAACTACCAATTAGACTTTTCAATTGATAT